CCTTGCACGAATTCGGTCACGCTCAGTAACCACACTTGTACTCCTTTGGCGCGAGATCGCCAACAAATACATCTCGACTACAGCCGTCAACTGCCTTCTGATATTTGGTTCACGGGGGATATTATCGGTTAACTGACACGTAGTCTTCCTGGAGTGGTGATCATAGTCAAACGTGACTCGACGCCACACTACAATCCTTTGAGAAATAGACAGTGAAGTAGTTGATCTCTGAAAAAATTACCATGTCTATAATCTATTATCATGAACGGATTCGGTAGAACAATGGTTTAGCAATTAAAACAACACTCAGCTTTGAATTATTAACTCCTGAGTTTGAATTCCCACCCCATCTACTTAAGTATAAGTAGCCAAATAGTTAACCAAGTGCTATAAATGTAAGTTGGCAGCTATCAAACTGTACAGTATTCAGTTAAATAGCATATTACGAAAATCTTCAAAAGTATTATTCCAAACACACAAGATGCAGCTAGAACAAGTTCTATTACTTAGAAAACTGAGGGATATTCAAAGCCGACCGCAGATAGCATCACTCATAATCAAAGCAAATGATAATACCTTATATTGGACCAATGCTTCGATGATTAAAACAATTCCTATCGGCGAGGTGACTTAGCGGTTACTGGGTTTGACTTCTAGTCACTAAGTTGCATACCGTAAGAAACGTGTATTGCCATTGGGAATTTTGATCAGTCATCTTCACAATGAAATGGCAAGTAACCTTTCGTGTGGTCTTTGATATATAATTATTATTATCCTGTAACTGACTGTTCGCTTTTGGAGCGGATTGAACTAATCTAATTGTCATTTTCAAAGTGTATAGACCTGGTTAGAAGCTATTCAGGTATCATACATTTGTACATTTTATAGGTATTTCTATTTTCATTAGTACGCATTGGTTACCGAGTTACTGTTTTTGATTATTTTGTTCAGTTAGTGCGTAACTGTCAAACCAATGTCCATACGGAAGATCAAACCAGGTTTCTAGTTCTGGATTTCACACAAACTAGCAAAGAAATCACGATTACTGATTTGAAGACTATGGAGACTCAACACTCCATAGGTATATGTGTACAATTTTTGTTGTCTCCGACATCAATCTATATCACTGGCTAAATTCACTAGTCCGATTATAATTATTCTACTTCACGTCTGGTATTTCGTCTATAGCGTAGTATCCTTAACTCTGAGTAATGTTATGTCCCGACTGCCACCACTAACCCTGAGCTAACGTAAGCCACTCTTCTATTAGCTTGCCTGTTCGCAAACCTTTCTCTATCCTCATCCTTGAGTCTGAAACAGTAGTCGCCAGCCAAGCGTCTATATATGACAAGAATATTTAGTACGATGAAAGACTAACATTAAAGGGATAGTTATACAGGTGGAACTAAATAACATTGATAAGTGTGAATGACACTAGATTTATAATTCTAAATTTAAATAAACTGTATATAGTAGCTTCATTCAGTCAGTGAATTTATCATGATTACCTTAAGACAGACCATATTTGCTGAGAAACTTCATTTCTTTCCGAGATCAGTATATCTTAAATCTTTTCTCAAGTGAAAAATATTTCTATAAACTATTTTTCATAGTATCCACAATATTTTCTCAGGTACACGGCAGTTTTGAAGAAGTTTTTATAATGTTCTTCTATCCACACTGTCAAACGCCTTCTCATAGTCAAGGAACCTGATGTATAGTGAGGGGTTCCATTCAATCGATTGTTCAACGATAATCCGAAGTGTCGTGATTTCGGTTGTACACGATCGATCCTTACGGAATCTGGTTTGCTGATCTCGAAACTGGACGTCTACTGAATCTTTCATCCAGTTCAGCAACACTCCGTCGAAAAATTTTCCTGATATCAATATTAGCGTGATGCCTGTGTAGTTACCACACTTGCTCAGATCTTCCTTTGGTATCTTCATGTGTTATACTTTTCAGTTTGTCCGCACTTCTTCCTCTCAAATCTCCTCGAATAGAACATGGGGCATATTTGCAGTTACTCCTCTGTCTGACTTCAGCGCTTCAGCTGGTATATTGTCAGGTCTTGCTGCTTTCCCACTCTTGATTTGTCTAATGACCGGCCATCCTGATGTTTATTGTTGGTAGTGACATTCAGAGGAAGGCCTGTGTGTGTTGCTTCGATGTCCGGTGGATTCAATGGGGCTGGCTTATTCAAGAGTTTCTCAAAGTATTCTACCCATCTGTTCCTCTGTTCTTGAATCTCAGTGATTAGCTTGCGTTCCTTGTCCTTGACCGGTCTCTCTGGTCTACTATATTTCCCTGTCAGTTTCCTCATTATATCATAGAGTTGTCTGATATTTCCTTCTGTTGAAGCTTTTTCCATTGTCGTTGTTAGGTCTTTCACATATTTCTGTTAGTCGGCTCTAATGCTCTTCGTGACTTTTTGTTTACTTCAGTGTGTTCAGCTTGTGCCTTGATCTTCTCTGTTCTTGTTATTCTGTTGTTAATTGCTGTCTTCTTGTTCTTTCTTTCTTTGATCTAGTCCAGTGTTTCTATGGAGATCCATTCCTTATAATGATGCTTCTTGAGGCCCAAAACCTCCTGACATTGTTGAAGTTAATGCTTCCTTTATCACTTTCCAGTTGTCCTCCACAGTTGTTTCTTCTTTCGGTAGACCCTATAAGGCTTGAAGTCTGATGTTCAGAGCTATCTTGAATTGGTTGACTTCGTCAGTATATCGAAGGAAGGCTGCATTAAACTTTTGTGATGCTATTTCTCAAGTTGTCCATTGCTTCCTTAGTTTCAGTTTCCTATTGGCAGCCACCAGGTGGCGGTCTGAATCGATGTCAGCCCTTCTCCTGATTGTCATCTATTTCATTGACCTTGTGAAATTTTTACTGATGCAAATATAATCCATCGGGTTCTGTGTAGCTTGACCCGATGAGACCCATGTAGCTTTGTGTATGCGTTTGTGTGGATATGTTGCGCCGTCTATGACCAATATGTTGAATGCACATAGATTTTCAAATCTTTCCCCATTTTCGTTTCTCTCTTCCAGTCCATTCCGTCCCATGATATCTTCATATCCGGTGTTGTCTATCCCGACTTCGGGGTTTAAATCTCCTATTAGGATGGTCAAGTCCTTTCCTGAGCATTTCGCTAAGATCGATTGCCGCCTCTCATATAACTGATCTTTACCGTCGTTGTTGCTACCATTGATTGGTGCATAACATTCGTTGTGATTCCCTTCTTCTTTGTTTTGAAGGATGCTTTGGCGACTCTGGATCCATGAGACTCCCATTCTATAAGTGCGTTTCGTGCTTCTTCGAATAGCATCGGAACAACTCCCTGAGTGTGCTGAGCATTTTCTTCTCCGTGACCAGAATACAGAAGCATCTCTCCCTAAACTAAATTCTGCTGTTCAGCTTAGGTCCAATAAATTTACCGTCAAGTTGTATCTCCGCATTTCCGCAGCTATTTGATTAGTCGTTCCGATCTCCCATTGTCCGAGCATTCCATATACGTACATTAATTGTCGCTCTGGCTGTTGGAAGTGGCATCGGCCTCGTGACTTCCGAAAAATCTCGGCTTTCATCAAGAGGCGTCATAATTGTTCCTTCAACTTGGAGGACAGAGTTTAAATGGTTTAATTTGTTTAATGTGATTGGCGTTTTCTAGCAAGATTTTTTTCTACGGGATGAGGTTGCTGACCCAATGCCTAAACCTACTCCTTTACCCGGGCTTGAGATCGGCAGTAACCCTAGAAGAGCTGCAGGCGGATTTAACAATATAACACATTACCTTTGATCATCATATTGATAGATTCACAAAATACTATTTCACTAACCCTACTCCAACTATATGGACCAAATGTATCAGTCAGTCAACCAACATGAGACCTGACAAATATGAGCATAGGCTTACGTCGCTATATCACAACAGTATTTTGAAATGAGACTAACGAGGTGAACAATGAAGAAATCGAGATAACATAGTAGCAATAATGATGAGAAAAAATGAATATTCATAATATAATTTGGAAAGACATAATTATAAAGCATGTATGAAGGAATACTGAAATACGTACATACAACCACTGTCAGGGAAGTCCTAATAACTATCTTCTCGCGGCATTACTGATGTTTATGAAGTTGAAAAAACGAAAAGCGAATGTCTGGCGCCTTAACCGGATTGATGAACATGAAGAGTCCACCTAGGGGGGGGTTGGAAAACCCTCATTCCAAACCAATGGTGCACATGGAGTCCGGTATATTGAGGGCACAAATTGCGTATAAACCAATCGTTGGTGAGCGGCTACCATGGAACTGCATCTCCTAACGTTGCTCCACTGCCTTGTGGATCAGACCTTTACATCGAAGGCTCCGGGTGTAGCCCCCCAAGGAAACCACCTGCTTCGGTTTGGGCGGCCGGGCAGCATCCCAGCCCTCACACAAATCAAATGATTTACGTGGCGCATATCTATTTGGTACCCCCTTGTACCAATGTTTATGTTTAAATAAATAAAATAGAGTAATATAAATACCGAGTGCTATGTATGTGACCCTCTTCCTTTACCCGGGCTCGAGACCAGCAGTAACTCTGGAAGAGCTACAGGCAAGATACTCAACACCGGATACCATAAGTAATAGCCTTCTATGGGAGAGAACAAATCAGCTTCCAGATGAAGAGGAAATTAGGAAAAGACGAAGGAAGTGAATAGGACATATATTACGCAAATCCTCAAACTGCATCACGAGGCAAGCCTTAACTTGCAATCCTGAAGGGAAGAGGAAAAGAGGAAGGTCAAAGAACACATTACGTCGGGAAATAGAATCAATTATGAAAAGGATGAATAACAAGTGGAAAGAGCTAGAAAGGATTGTCCAGGACAGAATTGGATGGAGAGTGCTGGTAGGCAGTCTATGTTCCTCCACAAGGAGTAACAGGAGTAAGTAATTACGAAACGACTCACAATTACAAATAACACAAAAATAAAAGTCTATTTTTGTTTTAAATAATTACTTTCTTTTTCAAATTCTGTTCATAATAATAATATTAAATAAATTAAGAAAAGTTATCCTAGAAATTACCAAACATAATCTATTATAGTAACATTCAGAATAAATAAATAAATAAATAATAATCATACTCATTAAAATATGTCAATAAAGTAGTAAAACAATAATTGTACTCATCATAAAATAATGTATCAATGAAGTGAGAAAGCAAAATAGGGTGAATGAGCGAGATTGGTTTAACAAGGAAGTATGTATGGTCGGTTATGTGTATGTGTCTTGTTCTCTCTCTCTCTCTCTCTCTCTCTTTTTGTCACATACACAGACACTTTCAGACACATTGTGTATTCATTCCACTTGGAACTAGTTAATCTGTTTCGTTGTTTTCATATTTTGAATGAAAAGAATAATACCATACTATGAGAAAAGTGTACATAAAATACATGCGCATAAATATGTGTTATACACATAAATTGAAATCTAGGCAACGAAAATAATAATAATAATAATTGTTACTATTATTATGAGTAATAGTAACAGCGATAACATAAACATTGGAAATATGTGTTTGGCACAAAATATCAGTAGTGAAGAGAATAGGAAGGAAGGAAGAATAAGCTAACTGTTGATTTTTGAAAGCGCGTGTGTGTGTGTGTGTATGTGTGTATTTTCCCTAGCATATGGTATGCAATTACTACACGGCAGACCAACGGCAAACAAAACAGACGAAATGAAGTACATCGTTGTTGTTGTGGTGGTGGTCAGAAGGAAGGATGAATACAACAATTTACTGATTAGTAGTCTGTTTAAAAAAAAAGAGAAGAATACGGCTTTTTCCTTCTTTTTTTTAAAGATAAGTAACAAACAATAACAGTTGTAGTAAAAGTATTAGTATTAGTAGTACGAAAGAGAGAACAAATGAGGAAAAGGAAAAAGCGCCGAATGTTAATTGTGACTATCTGCTGAAGAAAAAAAATAGCTCAAGACAGGAAGAAATAAAACAAACTTATTCGTCGGAAAAAGTTCATCATTATAAGGCCAATAATATTACTTGTAAAAATATTTTTTCCTAAAAAATAAGAACCAAAGACAATAAGGCTGACAAAAATAACACAACAAGGAATGTATTTTTCTGGAAAAAAAGACGTATGTATATATATACATCATATAAAAATTGCACTTATTCTGTTAATTTATTGCTTCAATAAGGTGGATACCATCTGTATGACTGACAGCAGCTACAGTAGACCAAGGTCTCCAACTAACCTGCAACCATTTACGTCCAACATCCACAGTGAATATGGATTCATTAACATTGGGATTATTAGTACTAGTATTATCATTAATATTATTATCTGAAAATGATGATCTGGTAAAGTTTTCAGTGATATCAATCAAATCATCATGTATCCTTCGTGGCCACGTTAATTCAGTACCGTCGGGTGATGATGTTGATGATGATATAGGTGAAACAAACACAGAAGTATTATCATCAGTTGTACGAAATGCATCATGGAATGCATTCATATCTTCATCTTGCATAATCAGTTTATAAGAACCTTCAATTGGATTTTGTCGATCAAATACTTTCACAGTATTATTATATGAACCAGTCATTATACAACTAGGTAAAAAAGAATAAAATTGTTTTACTGTTAAAACGAAACTTGAAAAAAGAACGTATGAATAAATAGTTTTATGAACAATAAATATCAATAATTTCAATAGTTGAGATCATGAGTCAATGGAAGCTAGACCACCATGGAAAACCTGGACGCACTGGACCGCCAACTCATCCTATTGTGGGGCTCCTCAGCAGTGCGCACCCACGACCCCGCCTCGCGTGACTCGAACCCAGGACCTATCAGTCTAGCGCGCGAGCGCTTTACCACTAAACCACTAAGCCGGCATCCAACAGTGTTCAATAATAATACTAATAAACAAATAAATAACATTTCGGTGTTTCCCTTTCCGTATAATCCTTTTTCTATCACCCTCTGTATTTACGTATATTTCATCTATATTTGTTGAATTATTTGCAAATATCATGTTATTAAAGTGTCTAGAGAATTTCAGGATTGACTCTTTGATGTCATTGAGTCTTACTTAACATCATCTTTCGGTGGTTACCATTTTAGATTACTGTACTTCGATTATGGCTGTACGAACGTATTGCTTCCATTTTCTATTAACGAAACTGAAGCACATCCTCTACTTTTTAGGAAAATTCGCTATTGATAACCACTAGTTAACTGTATAATTTTTCCATATCTTGTATAATTATTTACTTTATAGTTGATTATACGTTGGTGGCCTATGCTCCTCCACGAGGAGCAACAGGTGTAAGTAAAACTTCTTCATAAATAACATGACCAATATAAAGAAGTTAGTGACCAATATGTTTTTAAATTTAGAGTCGGGAGTCACTCCCAAAAACACCAACGGCACAGATATACTGGAATTACTCGGATTCTTAATGACTGGCTAATTGATGTGCCGAGATTTGTAAAGTGTAACAAATTGAACACATTAACTTATCAACCTCACTTAAACAGTCTCTGGACCCAACATCAGATCACTGATAACTTGGTACGGAAATGAAAGGATAAGTGCACAAGATTGGCATGAGTCACATAGTCACGAAATTTTTGTAAATACTAGCCCATTATTATTGTTAGTTATTCTTAGTCGATCATTTTGTAATTGGACAATTCTCAGTTGACTTTTAATGCATGCCACTAAGGTACCAATTTTTAATATTTCACAGTACAATAAGTTACTGACAGTGCATTAATACAGAGAAAAGCTATAATATATATGTATCTATATTCTAAACTGTTAATTTTTCGACCGTAGCTGCTACTTTGATGTGGCGATCAGGCTTGCATCTGAGGCGATGCTGCCCTCCAACAAAGAAAAACTGTCACATATTTACTTCAAGGATTTCCATATTCGGTGGTAGGGCTTTTTGATGTACGGAGCCAACATATTAAAAGCACCCCATAAAAGCCTGTGTGTGACCGGTCTCAGTAAGTTTATTCATGGGCTCTGCGGTTGCGCTTTGAGACACGTCAAGAATAAATATCATTCTATGGTGTACGCAACCCAGAAGTGAAAACCGCTCTTACACTTCTAACAGCACTTGAGATCGTCATGTTAACGAAGCTGTTAAATTATTCAAACTATTTTTTGACAGAAATGTGTTTACTCTTTTAAAGAAACCGGACCAAAAAATCAACTACTAACTAACCACTCACATACCGATCATTTGAAGATATAGTTAATTTGAAATCATCAAAAAGTAATTCACTTTCGTATAAAACAGTTAAATGCTTTTTTAAATGACGTTGGACAGGATAAACTTCAACTGGTTGAGTTGGCATTCGTGAATCCCAAGCTACACCATGAGTATGGGGATAGATTTAAAAAAATACATACAAAAATATATATGATCGATCGAAAGTAAGGTGAGAATGTGTTCAACGTTTTCAGACACATTGAAAAGTTATCCACTTGATGTCGCTTAGTATTAATAAAAAGAATTGATTTCAAACTGGACTAAGGAACCGTGAAAACCATGTAGCTAAACATAATTGTTTGTTTCGCTAGTGAGATGCAAGCCATAAGAATAATTTGCAAAATTGAAGTGAGACAGATATTTTATCGACGGCATTCAATTATAGTGCAGAAATGTTGTGCATTTATTATAGTCTAAAACATCTGTCATTAAGTTACGACTGGATGATCTAAAGATATTGTACTACTATCAAAACCTGAAGGTCTTAGATTCGACTCCCCATTGTGTCATAAAGACATGCACTGCTGAGAGGAAAAGTTAAAACTAGAATAACACAGCTCTCTGACACCTGGTTCTATAACTAATTAACCACTGAGTGATTATTATTACGTTTACCTACTCTTTTGGGGCTGGTTCAGTTCTGTCGATTAAGCTACTAGTACAAATCATTTCAACCATATGATATCTCAACATAGTACACTCAAAGTCAAATCCACTTACGCCGCTGGCTAAATTTCAACTCGACCGATAAAATTTGGGCGGAACCAAAGAACTAGACAAACCTAAAATCGGTAAATACTTAGTGATCAATCAATTGTAAATACCTCACCCTTACAGAAAAGTCGTGACCCAAACAGCTCAACGATAACGTCTTAAACTGTGAAGTTGGGTGGAGTGGTTTCAGATCACATGGAAAGTCCTTTAAAGGTTGTAGGTACGCTTTGTTGACAAATTTCAACTGGCAGGAAACCTAGATTAAGCAGAAGTTTTCTCCGACTATTTCCAGCCACTTGCTTAGATTACTGCTTTTCAACAGTCCTTAGGTCGATATCAGTTTGTGATGAAAAATAACTTTTATACTGAAAAATCTCCGGAAACCCTTTATATCTTTAAAACCAAATTATAGTTTAGGAGTTATACAAACTTTTAAAAAACAAATCCAAAATGAGTGTTTACTTTTAACGCTCAAATAATCACGGGAAAATATAATGTAATCGGAGCATTGGCCAAATTTCAAATCGGAAACTGAATTAGTGAGAATTGTAAGCACATCTGATTCGTCTGCAGCAAGACTATGAAAAACTTTAGAAAAAAAACACCTGAGTGTGAAAAAAAGATAAAACGTAGTCATGGGAAAAGTTAATCAGGTATAGACTCCTGTACTTGGTGTCGAGCCACCTAAGTGAGATCTGGTGAAACAGTATTCGCCCTTAGTCAGGTTCTGAAACACTGACATACCTACCGACCAGCAACCATAGTTGTATTTCCCGACCTTAAGGCACCATTTGGTTCTGTATATCAACAGGTTTTGTCGCAAGGTCTGTCACTGAAAGGCATACCAAAGAAGTACATTAACCTTGTACAGGCTTTCTACTCGAAGACTACTGGTTGAGTCAGAGCCCACGGCAAACTGTCATCGGAATTAGTGACTATAAGTGATGTTGTTCAAAGTTGTCCGCTTCCCTCATTTTTATTTAGCTTCGTCATGGGCATGCTTTCAGATATAACACTTTGGACACCCGACTTTTCAGAGATTGATCTTCTACCAGGAGATTCACTTGTTGACCTAGAATATGTAGATCATATAGTTCTGTTTGGTGAAGACGCTGATAAAATCCAGTCTTCTGACCACCTGAAGCAACAATTCAAGAATGTTTTAGATGTGGTTCTCTCTCATCGCCTGAATTTGTAACAGGGATTGAAATAGTTGCGCGCACCAATCACTTCACATATCTTGAGAGTCTCACGAGTCTTGATGGTTTGGTGTCTGACGAAACCTCAGCACGCATTCAGAAGGCTCAATCGGCTTTTGCCTAATTGCACCACTTGTGGTGTAGGTGAGAACATTCTACCAAATAAAAGGAGAGCTTACTGTGCAGTAGTTTGCTTCGTCCTACTTTGTGGGTGTGAAACATGGTCATTAAAAGTAGATATTCGTGGGCTACTAGTGAGTGGCCACTCATTTATTTATTTTAACACATAAACATTGGTGAAAAGGGCACCAAAAGACATGCGCCACAGTTTTTTTGTGTGATTTGATAGTATAATTTAAAACCAGTAGATAAGAAAATAATGATATGCTTACCAAGAGAAGCGTGGTCACAAAGAGAGCTTGACCGTGTATCACAAAGAAAAATGGAACCCCTGTTAGTGCCATATGCAAATAATGATGGAGAAGAATTGCTACAACTAATTCCGGTTATCAGATGTGAGCGATCGTCCAAACGATCAAGCATATGATCAATGACACCTTTAAATTAGCAGTGTCAAGGAGTTTTGAGTTAAGAAAAATATATTGCATACCAAAAAAATCAGGTATAAAAATATAATTAAAACAGGATTATACATATTTGAATGCTCCTTTCAGTACTTCAAACTATCCCAGTTAGTTGATGACATCGTTATTTGACAGATGTTTCACATTTAGTGTATTAGTATTTTATAACAACGGTTGGAATCCTTAAGAAAATACATGAATTCACAACAGTTGACCTTTCAAAACAGACTACTTAGAATTATTTCTGAAATATTATTGCAAAAATCCAAAGTTTGTTGACAAAAAAGCTGCTGTTTCCTAAAATAATTTTATTTTAAAAACACATTAGAGTTGTTCCAAGTCAGGTAATTACAATGAATAACAGATGACAATTTAAACACATTTTAAAATAGTCATGATTATTTCATTTCAAATTCAAAGATCCTTCACATATATGGAAAAGCTATATCCAGCAAATCAATAAACTTTTGAAATAATTTCCAACACTGAAAATCATCTTAATTCGCAATCCAAAGAATTTCTGTTCATCACATTATAGTTGTATACAGGTCCATAATGAACTGATTTTCAAGTAAGAGCTTCTCTAAAGTTAATGCCTTCCATAAGTTTATTGTGGATTATTTATTTGAACACATAAACATTGGTGCATAAGGGCGCCAAAGACATATGGGCCACACAATAAAAATGAGGTTGTGAAGAGGTATAAAAAGTAAAGTGAGTATAATACAAATGAACCACAATCCATAGAAATTAATGTATGAGAATGAGAGCAGTAATAATAATGGGAGAAGCAGTCCAGTTAGGAAAAATATAATTATAAGAAATTTTTCCAGTTAAAAAGTCACTTCTACTTTTACGAATAAAATAAAAGAAAAATACATCAGGATCGTCACTAGCTTCTATTCCAAGCCATTTCTGATAACATTTCAAGCTACTGTGGTGTAGCACCTGAAAGACTCAAAAAAGAGTCTTAAAGGTCCCGCAGATGCCATTCCTCTTCAGCATCCTTTCATCCTATGACACCATGTAACACACTGACCACCTATCAATTTTTCGAACTAGTTCAAGCATCCGCAAATAATGAACAATATGGAGTTCGTTGGGACTACATATGCAGTACATGTTCAAGCCACCGAAGTCGATATTTCAAGATAGTGACACCAACTGAATTATCGTCGCTGTCGTAAACACACGTTATCGAAGCTCTCCATTACTAACATGGTGTTGCCATTGAAGGCCAGCAAACCCTAGGAGAAAACGATGGTCAGTCGGTTAACATTCTCAACTCGAAGGGGCCAGGTTTTACAAGCATAAAACAAAACTGATCTAACTGATACGTTGTATACCCGACCTTTCACAGCCAGAATAACATCACGAAGGTGCCAAAGATGACCCAGATTGGCATAAACCACTCTCGTTTACATTATGAGTTGATTTCACCACTCAGGTCACCACCAGCACTTACGTAGCTGCACAGATAAGATCGAATCGAACTGGAGAGATTTCAATATTATGAAGTGGGACTCAGAACTTATCAGCGATTTCAATCGAAAACATGACACCAATATTGAACTGTGTAATGTTTGATGGTTTGTACAAATCGAGACAAACAACTTTTATATTCTGAATTTTATAGATATAAATCTATTTTCACGAGATAAACGTTGAAAAAGTAGAATCGACTCAAGATAAAAGCGATTAATACCAACTAAATTAATGATAGTAGACAAAATGTAACTGGTTAATAAAGACTAAATAAGTCATTGGTAAAAGGATACTGAACACCTCATTAGTAACTTCTAAGTTCCACATATTAATTCTCAGTGGATCGGCAGAGAAGAAAGTTTCACGGTCAGCAGAGGGTGACAAACCGACAATTGAAAAACCGTGAGCACGAGCAAATACTTTTTTATTCTGTACACGTATATTTGTATTTCCATAATTCTTCAAACAGACAGGGACTTTGATATCGGATAATGACCTGATAACAACTTTACGTCGGCAACCGGATTCAACGGGGAAATTCAGATTTGTAAACGATTGTGTCGGTAGTTCAGTCAACTGCCAAAGTTTTATAGTACGTTCTGTAAAAATAATACCAATGGTGGGACTGATCAATCTGATGGCATGTACCATATATGCAGTGTGTATTAGGAAAATTTAAACATCTGACCAAAAATCTTCAGATTTGAATATATATATATATATATATATATATATATATATTTGCACAGCCAATATGCATTAGTATTAAGCTTTTATTCACTGGGTTAATCGTTTCAAAAAGGCAAGTAAATTATTTATTTATTTATTTTAACACATACGTATTGGTACAAGGAGACACCAAATACATATGCGCTACACAAATCTCATTTGATATGTGAGGGTTGTGATACTGCTCGGGTGCCCAAACAGAAGCAGATGGTTCTTTTAGGGAGTCACACCCAGAGCCTTCGATCTAAAAGTCTGGCCCACAAGGCAGTGGAGCAACGTTAGGAGATGCAGTCCCATGTTAGCCGGTGACCAACAATAGGTTCATACGCCATTTGTTCCCTCAGGATACTGGGGCCTATGTGCACCACTGTCTTGGGATCAGGGTTTCCCAACTCCCCTAGGTGGAATCTCCATGTCCATCAACCCGGTTAAAGCGCCGGACATTCGTCCTCTCCATTTCGTAAACAACACCCGTGTTGCGAGAAGGTAGTGAGTAGGACTTCCCTGGCAGGAGCTATATACACGTGGTCATGTGAGAGCATTTTGAGAGAGAGGACTCTCTCCACTCTCGGCCGTACCAGGGCATTTGGGGGCCAAGTAAATAAAAAAATTAGGTATAAGTCGTGGTTAAAACTAACGGTTTCTTGTATGAAACAAATATAACTCATTTTTAAGCAGAGGTGTATGGTGGCTAGCATTGGAATCGAGGATTCGCGTTTCTCCCTATTTGGGACTCTTCAGGTGAATGTACCTGAAACCAGTACATATGAGCTAAATATCATGAGTCACTTTATAAGAATTTGTTTCTCTATTAGCAATCTTAACGGGGTTTGTGTTGGTGTAAACAGCTGCACTGGAATACATTAAGCTGACCAATTCCAAATGAGTTTTTAGATTCTATTGCTAGATATAATAGTATAACTCATAGTTTAAACATCAGGTAGATGTTTAAGACGAGAATCATTATTGTTTTTCAGTTGTGATCGACAGTCTGGATTAATAAGCAATGGTGGAGAGAACATTCCTCACGAAAATCTAATTATCGACGCGAAACTCTCTTGTAATCAAAAGATAACAATGGATACAACAGCTAGTCACGGAGGTAAGTTCATCTGAAGAAGAGACAAACTTATGCACAGATATCAACATGATTCTCACAAATTATTTAAGACCTAAGTGTTTCTACTGATCTCATAAAAATACTTTGATGACTTGTAAAATAGCACACGGGCACTTCCCCAACTAGCCAAATGTATCTCGCAAAACTTGTGTTACTGAACACCACGGTCAAAACATTCCGCTTACTAAATCTGTACAATCTTATTATCAAAAACGAACAACTACGAAGTTAACCCAATCCTTTCGTTTATGTTATCTGTTAATATTTATGGTTGATGGGGTCACTGACGAATATTTACTTCCCACTCACTGTGCTTAAGATCAGCGAAAGTATTGATGTATCGACTACTGACTGGATGGGCAGGACCATGTACATGGTTACTGATTTCTATCCGTTATTCTCGACAAAATCGAACACGGAAATAAAGGATAATAGAATGGGCACCCTGAGTAACGCAAAATTAGAATTGCCACCGATATTGACTGTGGTCTCTAAAATTGTCTATCAACCTTTTTAATTTGCTAGTTACCAACCTTCAGCTTGAAAAGCATAAGTATTCACTTGCCACACTGGTAAATAGGACTTTGAGTTTGAGGGTGACGAAATCTACTGGCTACAACCAGTTAGTCCACTTTCTAGATCTTTATCTTTGGAAGCAATTATTCCCCCATAATTCAATACTCTAATTAATGATTACCAACGAGCAATGATTCGTTACATACACGTAAAGATAGAATACTGTTTACCTATTTATAAACCTGATTTACATAATCAATTTGAAAGATTCCTGACCTCAAACATATAGCCTTGCAACTCAGTCATAACATGACTGATCGTGTGGAAGCTTTATTATGAATATTCAAAATAACTCCAAAGCTTAGAAAAATAATTGTCAAGGGCATCAGAAGGGATTAAGATAATTCCGAGTGGGTAACTTATCAGGATATTTCATTTAATAAGTGCAAATACTAAAAAATGAACCAATATTTTCGAACAACTCTTTCCATAGTAATATTAGAAAGTTTAAGCTTACCATTGGAAGATAACAAGAAGTGGGAAAGCCCGGATTTCGGGAGCCAGCGTATAAGGTTTATTTTCTCCTCTATTGCTTGAGACTTTAAACAGTCAAACTCTGGTTCGTGGCTTAGGAAAACTTGATAGGGTTTCGAACAGGAATGACAATGGTGCGTTGTTTCAGAAAGATCCTAATTCTAGCATTATCATCAAAAATCTAGGTCTACAAACCGCTTGGCCAATTTCAATGACACTAACAATCCCATCGGCGTTTCCATAAGCCAGATGTGTGCCTTCTCTGTTGAACTCTATTACTGAAATAGCTGTGAAACGATGTAACGACATTAATGTGTACTTACGTCCTGAACCTTCGATTCTTCTAAGAATCTCGTTGCAGTACCATTTGAGTCGGCCTATTGTAGAAATAAACATGACGGTAAGAAATCACTTTTACGACATACCAGATTGGGCCACAACATCACAGGACGGAGCAGCATACTGCCCAATAGGGCTTTGCATGTCAAAAAGTTGCGCAACATTCAACACGTGCGCCTAGCCCGTTCGAACTTCTTCATTTCTCAATGCTGATTAGCTTTATATGTAAATTCTACAGGACTAACTTAACATATAATAGCGCCTAAGCTACTTACAACACCTTAAAAATACGCAAGACTTACCCAAAATTCAATGTATACAGATTTAAAAGCTTTGCAATCAAATGTCTTGGATGCGCGCTATTTAAAAGTACAATGGTGTTTTGACCTCGCTGAGTTAGTTTTGTTGTTTTAATGGTTTATTGTTTATCAAGACTATTTTTCACTTTATCTGAATTTTTTCAGTTTAACTATCCGGTAAGAGTATCGTTTTGGTTTCTAATGTATTTTATCGTCGGTACCTTTGAGCACATTTTTTCTAATGTATTTGTCAACAATTTTGGTTCCAACAATTTACAGATTTTCACTTTTTTGGTCATAAGTTTCTATTGTCTTTGAGGATTGTTGTATCTAGTTCCTTTTTGAAAACCTCTGAATCAAGACTGAACAGTGCAAAAAAAGCTATCGATACATCGTCGAAAGCGGCATGCAGCGAGAGGAGTGTGATAGATGGTACCATGAAGTTAGCATGAATCCAACGCCTGTATCCCTTAAACGGTTCAATAAAAATGGTTGTGTGTGGTTTCGTAAGCAGTGCTACTCGGACAGCTTGCTAACCGAGGCCATCTCATTGGTAAACATTGCTGAAAGATTGTTAGCAAACATAGTCGAGACACGTCAGATAGTACTCCCTCGGTCGATTGATGTGAATTCACCCCAAACAAAGTCAGCATTGACTGACTTATGTGGACCAAAGAAGGAAAGGTCGACTTCAAAGAGGTCTTTCCGAAATAAAGGCCCAAGAATGAAAGTTTCTTCCGTCTCCCGTCTTCCAAATGACAGCCAGCAAAAAACGCCTAAAAAACCTAGTCGTATGGCTAGATATATTTCCGTCAGGAAAAAAAAACAAACTGACTACCCAGGTCGTTAACAATCAACTTGGACCTCATAGTGTGTTTCTCATGACTATGGTCGCTACCCCATCAGAAGTTGATGAATGGGTTCAGGTCGAGAATAAGGAACGACCTAATATTATCAAAGAAAAACTAACCCTTTAAAAGTAGCTGTGAGGTTAAAACTTTATCATAGCAACAGATCAGTTATCTTTACTAGGGTTAAAGGGAGTGGAAACTTAGAGCCTTAAAATCGTTTTGAGCATGATAAGAATTTTGTGCAGTTAGTTATGACAGACTTATTTTGTAATTATTTTTTGCTAATACTTTCATTTCTTCACATTTGCTGCAAATGACTGTGAAAACGTTGTTGAGAAAGGCATGTCTTTGATTTTCTGTACCCTTTTCTAACACCCCATAGCATGACACACTGATTATCGCTCACAAATACACTGCTACACTCATGTGCCTTTTGTTCTCAATTACTTATTGTTATGATAACAGAACTCTAATGTATTTGCTATATATGCTTACAGATCACAGTGATATATTTACTGCATGCTTTGTCTGGATATACATCTTCAACTATAAAAATTGTGGTTGGAGTAATAAAATACATATAACAGTGGATTACAAGGCCACAAGGAACTCGACCACGCCAACTTCTGACAATTTAAGTAACGTCCTGTGTATTTTTCTTGTGTATGGATTATATCCAATGTATTAATACATCAGTTTCCTTTCGTAATAACTTTATTATTGGAACTAATATATTCTTGTTCCAACACCAGTTGACAAAACAACTGACCCCTCAAAATACCCCTAAAATCACCTTGCTAAATGTTTATAGGCTCAAGTCATTCGAACTTTAATCATAACAAAACCAACTTGTTAAAAGTGGTATTTAAGTCTTCCAACCAAGTGAAATTAACACTGTAGAATGGATATAAACTAAAAGGGTCGGGAGTTTTTGTCTGTAAACACTTGATGCTCATGGACCGTATCTTCTGAAACATGAATAATAAGGACAAGATAAGAGTAGATGTCCAAAGACGCTTCACACGCCGACTGCTAAGATGTGACTTCACTCTCAACTACATAGATGGATGTAAGCACCTCTCCTTAGAACCATTACAGTATAGTCGGCTAAGGAACAATCTAATATTTCTATACAAAGCATTACATGCAGTCATATTTCTAACCTCCTGCATAATCGTGATCCGTAATCCAGTCTACAGACTCAGAAACAACCCACATACACTACTTACAGTAAAACACCGGAAACCATTGTGTTATAAGATTTTTACAGCATAGTTTATTATCGAATAGGTTGGCACTACTAATCCGTAACTGTGACACTATCATCAACTTCAAAAGACTATTAACACTGTTACTTGACACTAAAGAGCTTCATCAATTATTCCCTGAAATTCCGTCCACTAATGAGACACTTTATTATGAACCGCCTAACATCTAGACCGATCATAAATATAACAGACTTCCGTTATCATTAATATGAATATAACCAAATGATAGAACAAATGGTTAACCCTCTCACATTATTCATTCTCATCGAAGCAACCACAGGCATGCTTTATCTTCTATTCAAAAAGATTTGGGAGGAGGAACAGGTGCTGATGGACTGGAAAGAAGGACACCTCATCAAGATTCCAAAGAAAGGAGATCTGAGCAAATGTGAAAACTACAGAGGCATTACACTATTGTCAATACCAGGGAAAGTCTTTAACAGAGTGTTGCCGAACCGGATGAAGGATGCAGTAGACGCCCAACTTCGAGATCAACAAGCTGGATTCCGTAAGGATCGGTCGTGCACAGACCAAATTGCAACACTACGGATCATCGTCGAACAATCAAGTAAGTGGAACTCATCACTATACATCAACTCCATTGATTATGAAAAGGACAGTGTAGATAGGAGGATGTTATGGCAACTTCTTCGACACTACGGAGTTCCTGAGAAGATTGTCAACATTATCCGGAACTTATACGACGGACTACAGTGCAAAGTAGTGCATGGAGGACAGCTGACAGACGCATTCCAAGTAAGGACCGGAGTCAGACAAGGCTGTCTACTCTTTCCCTCTTTTATCTGGTGGTTGACTGGGTTACAAAGACCTCGACTTCTGAGTAAAAAAACGGAATACAATGGACAGCTAAGAACCAATCAGACGAGTTGGACTTCTCAGATGAGCTAGCCCTCCTATCGCACACACATGAACAAATGCAGATAAAGACAGCCAGTGAAGAGGCAGTCTCTGCATCAGAAACCCTCAGCATACACAAGGGGAATGTTCAACATTGTAAGAGCCTACAGAACCCAGAAGCGTAGAGGAGGAGAAGCTCAATTACATGTCACATTTAGGCAAGAATGGTCGTGTAATTCTAGTCTTTGATTTCCATATTTTAAAAACAAAGATGTCTGATCCCAAGCCAGATCAAGTGTTTACAAGAAATCATACACTCGGCATCTTCAGTGGATTGGACAATAGAATCATAATTCCCTATTAAAACCTCTTAGAAGGTGTTCAGAAGTGTGTACATAAAAATTACTGTACTGAATGACCCTTGAACAACAAGAAGTTCAAAAAACTCGCCACCATGATTCAGTAAGGAGGCTTACATCCTTCATCGTGAGATGAAAAGAATGTGCTAGAGATCTGGGTAGCAGTTTACTGACGAAACAAAACTTAAATATCAGGAAGCCCGAAAGATTTGAGCCTCCACCATCAATAAGTCTAGAAGATTATATGAAGAAAGGCTTTGTAAGAAGTCTATAGAATATCGCAAACGCTTATATTCTTATATAAACCGAAGAACTAAGAGGGTAGGCAGCATCTCCGAACTTTGTCTAAGCTAGTAAGATTCTTACAATTTGTCCGATCAACAGTATGGGTCCCCTGGCTCTTGAGCCTTCTTCTGGCCATCGATCTGTAAACGATTAGTGTTAGCTTGCGTTTAAGATGCTGGCCTGGCCTAGAAGCACACTGCAATGCCACCATGTAGTCGTCCGCTGTTAGCTTCCACTACGCTCGTGGACAAAGGAGTGTTGTATATGCTCCCTCATAGTCGTGTGTTTCGCTCCAGTGTAGGGAACATTCTCCGCCCTCTAAAGTATCCTGTTTGTGACCTAGGTAAAAAAAAGTGGTCACTACTTTCTAATGGCGCATGAATATAGCTATCCTTGACTAGATTTTAACCATTTGTCAGTAAATGATCTAATTCTGAGGTTTTTCCGTCCATATACCATCTCGTGGCATCATCCACATGTTCGGTTAGTCCTGAAAGTTTGATAGCTGCGACAACTTACTTATGGAGCCACATTGTAGGGGCTATATCCTGCTTGCTGAGATTTAGGGATGGAATGTTGAAGTTCCCAGCTAGCGATATGTGGTCAAATCCCAGGTAGAGCAGCTTCACTATCACCCTTATTGTCTCATCTTTTTGGGTGTTAGAACCTCTGGGGGCCCCGTATATCCTTCACTCAAGTACTTAATGACGCTCACCCTGAATCAACCCCAACATGGTCCTGTCATCTAGGCGAATTCGGTAGTAGTAGTAGTAGTTTTGTCTGCCCTACTTCTTCATTCACGGTGTCAGGCAATAACTGCATTTTAGTTAGAATAACGATATTCGGGTCCAGTTGAACACATGTGTTACTGATCTTCCCATGTTTACTCTTAAGTCCTCTTATGCATCTATAGAGGCCCTTATTGGTTTGTCTTACAACGTAGTGCTAATGTGCAGCAGCTTCCGCCCTCTGGGTTTTAGTTAGATTATTCCCTACGGTGTGTTGTCTGGATCCATATGAGCTGACTGCTGTAGGCCTTTTGCCTGTATAGCGTATCTCACTTGCAGGACCATGGTACCTATTTCCTGTACCACGGGTTGTAGATCAAGGTCGACCGACATCAAGGTATGTTTTATTGGGCTTCGCTGCTGTTGTTTTATCGAACTGTCATCAGAATTGATTACGTCAAGTAGCTGCCCCACTCTCTCCATTCTTGTTTAACTTTGTCACTGACGTGTTTTTGGAATAATTCTTTCCTCTTCTAGATTTCCAGAGGTTGAAATTCTACCAAGAGATTCACTTTTTGACCTGGAATATACCGATGACATAGTTTTATTTCGTGAAGACGCTGACAAAATGCAGAATCTTCTGACCCCTCTAAGCAACAATGCAAGCATGTTCGGGATGCGATTTTCTCCCTCGAAATGCAAAATGTTGCTTCAGGATTGA